AGTGCGAGGTTATTTACACTGCGCTCACCATCCAACCTGCCCAGTGTGGTGAGTTTGGGCAAACATTTCGAGCCTATGCTTTCATTCGGTGAACCTTGAAAAATATATATAACTATGCAGTGAATATAGAGACTAATATAAAAGGTGCCTTGTTTGGCGTTAGAGCATCTGTAATCTTAATTCGTCCCGTGGGTGTTGTAAGAGAGACTATGGAAAATGCCAGAAAAATCTTAGGGCTTAACTTAATGGTATAACTATCTATTTTACGCCTGGCGTGAAATACCTAGATCAGTAACGGGCAGCGTTAAAGGTGCGAGACGTCTGGTGCAGCGTGACAATTAAGGAAAAAAAAATAAAAAAAATTCCCTACAACGGGAGAGACCCATGTCATGACTAACGGGCTTGTCATAAATAAGCAGTCAATGTAAATAAAGAAGAAACGACACTAGACTATTGGCTAAAGCGTCTTATTCACGTTCCGTCTTGTTGTACGTCCCGCCAAGGTCATGCACGACGCACGACTCAAAACGACAATGAGTAGGCACTTAAGGATACGGATCGCTAATCTAAAATCTCGTAGGCTCAAATCCGCCATTCGATCACTGTCGTATACCGCGTCTAGTACAAGCATTTTTAGCTTAGTTAATGTGCTTACTGAGATTAATTGTAATAATAATGTTTTGGAAGTATTTAAAAAAAAATGGGAAAATATGAGATTTAATATTACGGCTCATGATTTCGGTGTAATATCTCATCCATTACGCGACTGTTATAAATTGACCAAGGGGCCTAAAATATCTAATAATTTCCAACATTTAACGTTTGGAATATTACTCGTTTTAGAAACATTATGTAATAAGATAAGACGCATGTGTTGGTTTTATTTATTTATTCATATATGTAACAAGTACACTTACTATACACTTAAATGACATTATCACGAAAACATACATATACACAGGCGGACTAACGATCAGAGCGCGAACCAGACGTCTGGCACCTTTGACGCTGTTCCCCGACGCTGGTCTGGATATCTTACGCCTGGCCTGGCGCATACTAGATGGTTATACTCCCACCTATCGAAAGCCTTAAGGATATCCCATAGTCGCCTCTAACGCACCCACCCACCTGACAAAATAATACATTGCTAAGTTAAATATATATATCTTTATATCTTTACATATAAAAATTACGTGTAACATTGTTTGTCCGCGATGAACTCCGGAACCACTCTACCGACTTTAATGAAATTTTGCAAATGTGTATTGCTTGTTCCAAATTGAGAGGTAGGATAGTTTTTATCCCGATAATGTTCTTCAATATTTTTTTATTGCGAATTTAGAGATTCTTTAAAACAAAGTGTCGTCGGAAAGGGCAGAATAAAGTCTGCCTGGCCATTTAGTGTATTGTATATACACAGGAGTAGTAGGAAAGAAACTACGAAACAATAATGAAGACGTCTCGTTGCAGATTCACTATCATTTTATATTTTATAATGGAAATATATACTTTCCATTGTTTCCCACTCATCTCGTATTGCTTGGACATACATTACATTTACACCCACGAACAAAAATAAATTTGATCGTCGACATTTACCGTGATGCGATTTCAATTTATTACTTGTTTGAATTACCACGTTCGTATCTAATTCTGATTTGTTAAAATGGGCGTGTTTAGTGCTATTTTTTAATTACTAACTATAATAATATGACCGTGTAGTAGCGGTGTAAGTTATCCACTACCATATATATCACTCTTGGTGTCGTAGAAGGCGACAGAGGGAAACATACCAGAAGATGGACAGCAGCGTCTATATAGCAAATAATATCATCTCCATAAGGCAATCTATGAGGAAGCCTATGTTCAGCTGTGGACTTTTAACATGCTGTACTGGGAATGGTAAATAGAAAAAAAAACAAAAGTAAATTTGTAGTAGTAACAAAAGTAAGGAGTGAAAGTTGGGTGTGATACAGAAAAAGCATGAGAGTAAAATTAATGCAGTAGAAATGCGGTGTTAAAAAGTATGTTAAGACTGACTGAATTATAAAATAAAGAAATTGTGTGATAGGAGAAAAGTGTGATTTGAAATATGTTTGGATCAGAATTGAGAAAGTAAAGCTGTGGTGGTTTAGATACGTAGAAACAATGAATGAAGAAAGAGTGACAAAGCAATTTTTATTGTAGAAGTAGCTGAGTCGGCAAGCGACGCATTAGACCAGTAGCTTGCCAGCTGAATTGACGATATATTGAAGGTGAGCTAAATTAAGAGTACCCTTTACCGACGGACATGTATGCGTGAATATACGGCTGTGAAAGAAACGAGAGGAATGTGTCAGGATTGTGTCAAATTGTAGTACGTAGTCTTTGCTTACCTCTTACAGGCGTGAGAGTTATGATACGTTATGTCAAAACTAAATTAAACATATGTATTTCCTAAGCCTCTAGTCAATTCTTAGAGAGTTATGGAGCATTTCGACTACCGCTAAGCTCCAAGGTGTGATAAAGGACTTCACAAGCCCTTGAAATACTTTTAGAGGGACATGCAGGTTTTCACATTATGTTTTCTTTTACTGCCAATCACCTCTCTGTCGTATCTCCTCTGTTTCATTGCACTCCCTTTGTTGCCTCAGTCAGTATCCGAATCCTCTGCGTCTACATATCAAATGACGTGCAGTTTCGTGGTCGCTTGGAAGAGAATGCCAAATTGGCCTCTAAAAACTTGGCGTGCTCAGCAGAGCGGGACAGTATATCATGCTGGCACACCTCCTGCAACTTTACAAAGCGCAGTTTCGGCCGCACATGGATTACTGTTCCCATCTCTGGGCCGGGGCTCACCAGTGCCACCTCCTTCCATTTGATTGCATCCAGCGAGAGCGGTTCGAAACGTCGGCGACTCGACTCGCTCTGCGAAGAGATATTGCTCTGATCTCTTTGTGTATTATATAGTATCTACCACGGGGAGGACTCAGAGGAATTGTTCGGACTAATTCCAGTTGCTCAATTTCACTATCGCACATCGTGACAGTACTCGAGTTACTATTCATACCATCTAGATAATTGGCGATTCACTACTGTGTGATTTACAAGAGATTTTCATCCTCGCAAAACTTCTATGTGGAATCGAATACCACCATTATTTTTTCCGGACCGATACAACTTAGGGACATTCAAGAAAAGAGCCTACTCTTTTTTAGAAGGCCATCAATTCATCTGCAACTCTTCTGGTATTGCAGTTGTTCATGGGCGGCGGTAGTCACTTACCTCTCATGTATAAAAAAACGTGATGTGAATATTTACCACTTAAAATTGTAATTAACAATTTTATTGGGCTCGCGAAATTCAAACTCGGGTTAAGCGCTTAGGCCCTGAACTGCCGCACTTTTAATATAGATTTAAAAAATACAAATTTATGACACTTAAAAATTTCCGTCCCTAGTCTGAACATATACCTGCCACAGGCACGGTCCTTAGGCATCTACGTCCATCAATTTTCTGCCTGTCTCGTTCTGTTGTCACTCCATCTAGCGGGGAATCGACACACAAGATTGCAACGCAACAATCGTTCTTTATTTGAACAATTTTATTATGTATAGAATAACCTATTGTAGATAATGGCTGAAATGCCATAGAATATAAAGAAATCATTATAAATAAGAAGAATAAAGCATAGACAGGTTTGCACTCTTAACACTCCATATACCTAATGTTTTTCTGTCCGTTAATTCGTTCCGTACACGAACTTTAATTGGAAATTTCCGACTAACAATTTGTTCATTAGATCCGAGACCCAGTTTGGGGTTATTCGTCATCTCGCCCGACAAAAACTCGCCCGTTCGGGCGACTTGGCACCTTTCGAATTTACCTAATATTTATGTCGTCAACTCGCACGCTCGTACAAAGTACAGCCAGGAAAAAAATTAAACTAAATTTTAAAAACGACTTCAAATAAAACGACATTGTATTAAATCTTACTTCTCCAAATACAGGATCCTTTATTTTTCCTATGTAAATTATATTTATGGCCCGCACGAAGAAGTACTGGCTTTCCTCTTTGTGAAATAATTGTTTTCAGACCAGTTCCAGAATTAGATGGACCAGATTGTGATTTAACTCCTAAAAAAAATTGTTATTATTGAAACCGGTTTTTCGAATCAATTCGTGAATAATTATCTAGGCGAAACAAACCATTTTTTTTATAAATTCCTTTTTTAAAAATTACTTATAGTCATAAAAAAATCTTAAAATAACTTATAATATTTAATTTATGTCCCATAGTTCATTCCAATGCCAGTCAATATAGGACAAAACAAGATGGCGGCCACAAAAGCCATATTTTTCAAAATATTCAACCCTGTTAGTACTCTGTTAGGACAGTACTAAAATAAAACTAGTAGTAATAAAATGCAATTCATTAAGACATAATAACACTATGTAAATAAATTAAATAAACTTACCTCCAACGTACATAAAAAACACTAAAACACCAACATTTTAATAATAACAAAATAATCCATATCGCAGCTTAATATGCGCGGGCGCAGTAAAGTACGCTTTATTGACTGACGTCACGATGCACCACGATTTCGATGGGGATAAAGGGTAAGATAAAAAGAAAGAGACAGCGCTATCCTTTTGTGAGCATTTACCTGTTTAGCTCGGCAGTGTAGAAGAGCGCTGTTCTTTACGGCCGAAATATATATATATATATCTATTTCGGATATAAAACAACAATAGTTAGTCAGTAGCTTTATTATAGGATTTAATAGAATGTCGTTTTATTTGAAGTTGTTTTTAAAATTTAGTTTAATTTTTTTTTCCTGGCTGTACTTTGTACGAGCGTGCGAGTTGACGACATAAATATTAGGTAAATTCGAAAGGTGCCAAGTCGCCCGAACGGGCGAGTTTTTATCGGGCGAGATGACGAATAACCCCCAGTTTGGGTATAAAACAGTCCATCGCACGCTCGGTTTACCCAATTAACCTCTATTTCCTTACAGATGCAGTATGCACCAAAACTGCAGCATATTAGCCAGCACGAATATGTTCGGTGACCCGTGTCCGAACACGTTGAAGTATCTCGAGGCGCATTATCAGTGTGTTCCTGGTAAGAAATTTTCTCAATGCGTTCTATTTTTAAAATTTCAAATACATTCATATTCGAATCGCTCTTTAAAAGTTGTTTTATAATAATAAAAGCAATATTAAACATAGAGAAAAATAGCTATTTCCTCAGTTATTTATTCATTTGTTCATTTTATACTATTGTAAACTTTATTTTTGTTTTATTAAACTTCCATTCTAATAAATATGTATGTCAGATTTATCAAAATTGTCTATTAAATACCATATTAAGTCGAAAGTGTCTAAATAATTCTCCAAAAGTAAATTTTAATGTCATAATTAATAAAGAAAAAACCTTTTAAATTTCAGCATCAACAACTAGCACAACCAATCGGCCATCGCCGCCATGGCTTATCACCTCCCAGCCAACAGTATGGCGGTCCACCATTCCTCCTATACCGAAGAATCCCGTGCAAACACAACAAACTGAACGCAAAAAGCCCACTGTTATAACGCCGCCAACGTTCAGGCCTCATATCACACTACCACCGGAAGTGAGGCTTGGTGATATTGGCACAAAAGTATGTATAATCTGTATCTTTTATTTTTATTATATTATCGGTTTTGGCGGGAACTTGACCGACGGCCGATTGCTGCTCCTGTATTATTGCTTAAATAATAATTTTAAGTGGTGCTATTTTGTGTATTAAAAAACGGTGAAACATGTGCTCCGATGGTTATTAGAATCTCAAGATAAGGTGTCTGTCTGCTTAGGCGCCTTGAGATACTATCGCTAACGGTCTGCTGGCTCAAGTTGCCGTCAAAATCTCTCAAAAACTACTCAATGTCACGCATCAACATATTATTGTGAAGCAGTGTACTATAAATATAAAGGATCTGACGGCTTCGTGGCGCAGTGGCTTAGCAATCAGTTGTTGCGCTGGGGGCTGCGGGTTTGAATCCCGCACGGAACAAGTATTTGTATGGCCTACAAATAATTGTTCCGGGTCTGGATGTTTGTCCTTGTGCAATTTATGTATGTAAACTGCCTCCACGACACAGGAGAAAATCCTAGTGTGGGGGTAACGTTTTTTTTTTTTTTAAATATAAAGGATTATTATCACTTGATATTGATACTGAGATAAATGAAGACTAAGAATAAGAGGCCGTTTTATTTTCATTCATTAATTCATTATTGCATATATAATCGTAATTATTGATACAAATGCCTATAGGCGCTATCCACCAGTCGACTCAACAGTTGACTCAACTTTGACTTTCGAATTTGGATAAAAAAATAGTTATACTATATACTCGTTTAAAGTAGGTTTGTAAAGACAACGTATTTATTTTAATAATACAGCGAGAAACTATCTAACGGTCTTTTTTTATAGAATAGGATGACAAACGAGCACACAGTCCACCTGATGGTAAGTGGTTGCTGTGGCCCATAGACATCTACATCTATCATCGTTTGCGAATCAAAATGCAGATGCGTTGTCACCCGTGAGGACTAAGATGGAATGCCTCTTTTCCAGTAAAAATGGTCTCCAGTTCTCTACACTCACCATACGAAACACAGCAGCATTAAGCTGCTATTTTACGCTGGTATTCTGTGAGAGCGTGGTCCTTACCCGGTCGAGCCGACCCATTCGTGCTACAGCTATACTACTAATATAGCTGCAGCATGGCTCTACCACGTCTACCTGATGATACGTCTTTAAACAATTACCAAGAATAAAAGCCGCAGGTGCGTTATCAGGCATGTTTGGAAATCCTTAGACACCGTTATTATACCCACTATGGTTGTTATGGTATCCACCAGACGGGCTCCTAGTCAGGAAAGGATGTACAAAGTCTTATACATTATTGTTGATTCGAAATTAATAAGCAAACAATGAATTATTAAACTACTCAATATAATATGTACATATATTTATCTAGGAAGAAATATCGGTTAAAAATTAAATATAAAAATTAATATCACTGGACAATCACGCGCGAACATTGAGTTATATGTACTACGTAGGCTAGAGAAGCCATTCCGAACATTGACTATGTTCAACTGAACTGTAGTGCAATGCATACAAATATTGCGTAAATTGAAGATTTGTGAATTCCATAAAATAATTATTATTACATATTATTTAGAAATATGTTTGTTTAGATTAAATTAAGATATTTTATATTAAATTCTTATATTTATTTTATATTAATATCTTATTTTTATATTAAATTAAAGTTCGCGCATGCGACACAATTTTTGTTTGGAATGGCTTCTCTAGTACGTAGTACATATAACTCAATGCGCGCGAATTAGGACTCTAAACAACATGAAATACGTTTATTACAGTTACAGATATAAATAAATTCAAACACCCATAACTAGCGTATTAATTAATTGTCACCAGCAGCATTTTAAAATAAATCAATATAAATTGTTCAAATTAGAACCGCAAAACAAACTCAAATATTTCTAATAAAAACCAATTTCTTCTAGAAGCCAACAACTCGACAACCAGATTCATCATCAGAAAAGGACCCATTACAAATCCCTCACGACCACGTACCTGAAGTTAAAGAAGAAACTCCGAAGCTTCCTGAGCCAGAGAGCATACCGAAGAATGAGAAACCGATTAAAGACCGTGAGGAAGGAATCGGTAAGGCTTCTGCGTACTAACCCATTCGCTTTCCCGTGTACTACATAATATAGTTCATTGCTATTGTCTTACTATTGTGTCTGAAAATCTGACGGTGAAAGTGTTAAGTTGTTCTACGTTATATTCAAGCCCATTTTTGTCCTTTTTAAATGTCAAATGCCTACGCAAGGATGGGTTATTTAGGACTCGCACCGACTAGAAGCCCATTATTCCGACTTATTTATACCTCAGCGACAACTTCAGGTTACTTCTTCATTAGCCTGTAAAAGTCCACTGCTGGAGCCGATCGCAGTATCATACGGTATGACGATTGCAGTCAAGTTAGCCAAAACTTTTATATTGATTTAGGTATGTTCAAAGCTCTTACCATTACAGTCTTTCAAAAGTCCACTGCTGAACATAGGCCTCCCCCATAGATTACATCATTGGACACTTGGGAAATAGATTGGCGATAGCAGTTCACTATTTTTATTCAGCTGTTATCAGTAAGATGCTGCTGCCCATCTCTTGATTCAGTTTCTTTCTGTGACCATTCATCACGAGATGAAATGGGCTAGTGGATATTCTTACACAGCTATTACACTGTGAACGCTCTTATTACATCGAAATCTTCAGTAAACAAGTGCTAAAATTAAAAATTTTGTACAACCGACTTCAATATAAATAAGATGAGAACATTATCACTGTAGTCGAAGTCAATTAAATACGCATTATCAAGGATAACTCAAAAACAATACGATCCGATACGACGTAGGGACCTTCAAGAAAAGAACCTACTCCTTTTTAAAAGGCCGGCAACGCATCTGCAATTCCCCTGGTGTTGCGGTTGTTCATGGGCGGCGGTAGTCACTTACCATCAGGTGAGCCGCATGCTCGTTTGCCCCCTCTCCTATAAAAAAAAACTACTGGTCAGATGTTGTCCAAATTTATATAGGACTACATGAGAAGCACCGGCTTCAGAATCATCAAAATTGGTTCACCTAGAAAAAAAGTCTGAGGTAACACACATAAAAAAATACAGTCATATTGAATACCTCCTCCTTTTTTTAAGTTGGTTATAAAGTTTTGACGCTCCGCACTCATCGTCGCTCCAAGTATTTTACGTCTGGGATAAAACGGTAATACCGCCATTTATCTAAACCAATAAGATCCGATGACAGCGATTCTTAACCTCGGATCGAGGTACGCCCTGCAGTGTAAATATAGCACTGGTGGGAATAGAGGTTTGGTTCATTTTTACGTTTTATTCTTATTTCGTTTTTTTGTGATACATTTATATCAGTATCGGATTATAAAGCGATGTCTTTTTACATCAATATTATATTCTAGGTTATAAAATATTATCATAGTGAAAAGCCGACGTAGTTGCGAAGAGATTACGACTGACAAACGATTCTCATCAGAGTTACGCAATCCCACAGCTAGTCCTGGTAACTGGTAACAACATAAGTATATTAATATCTATCACTAGTATCATATCGGAGAGTAGACCGTGTATAGTTATTAATTAATTTGAATTCGTATAAGGTCGCAAGGGTAGAATAGTGTTAAATGATAGTCCGAGTGTGGGGGGTCAGAACACTAACACAGGGTACCCTAGTATAGGGCAGGTTACGTTCTCTCACAATGGCAAAGCCATTCGAAATGTAAGTTTTTAGTTTAAGCATTATAATTATAATAATGTCCTCCAGACCGAATTTCGGTCACGGCGGCCAGCCTCAACGGAGACTAGCCATTGACGCAGGACAGGATTATAGTGCCCTAGTGTATGCGCAAGCACACGTGCACTCTATTCCTTCACTCCCATAGTCCGATGGGACGGTAATCCGACACGACAGGAGAGAGGTTAGTCGCAGGACCAACGGCTTTACGGGCTTTCCGAGACTCGGGGGTGAGACACCGCCAACTTCCTCACTCCGGGCAGCTACTGAGAATATCTGGATGTAAAGCTCGATAACTGATACGCTGTCATTTGAGCCATTGTGATTGGAAATAAACGATTATTTCATTATTATTATTTAAGATCACAAACAAAAAGGTTAATAAAACCAGCTGAAATAAGATTATAACAAATCCAGATCTAAAAATAAACAGTTCACATAATATATTAGCTTCGACTAAAACTCAAATGTATAGTCCACGACGTGGTTTTAATCACTTGGCTACTTGGTCAATCTGGTATACTGAGAACTACTTAATCTGCATAATAAATACGTTCCTGTTTCCTTCAATTATTTAGGTTAATAATTTCTTTCAGCACCAGCCACGGAGGAAACCATGCAGTGGCCGGCGAAAGACGAGGACTCAGATTCCACTTCACCGGTCCATATGCCACCGAAGGAGAACCGATCGCCGGAAATAGACGGAGAGAACGCATACGACACTAAGATCTATTGTAAGTTTATTATTAATTGAGTGTTTAATATAAATAACCGTATTTCCGTCACGGAGGCCAGTCTCGACGGAGAATAGCCATCACGCGCTATGAGGGCGTGGTGTTTCACGGCACACTCATAGCGCATGACTGGATTACAACAAGCACAGTTACACTCTCTATTCCTACCCTCTCATAGTCCGATGAGACGGCAAACTGACGAGATCGGAGCGACAGATCAGATGCAGGATTAAACGGCTTTACTTGCTTTCCAAGGCACGTTGGTGAAACACCGCCAACTTCCTGAGTCCGAGCTGCTACTGAAAATTTCTCGACAGGATAACCCAATCACAGATTTTGGCCTGACCCGGGATTCGAACCTGGGAACTCGTGATCAGCAATGACGTTTACGACCACTAGACCAATGAAGATGTCAAGTTTATTAATATTACATGATAAAGCCACGCTGTCGCTGTGTTAATGTTATTAGCTCGACCGGGATCAGCATAAGGCTGCTGTGCTTTGTAGTAAGAGACGAGACGGATAACTCGTTTTACTGTTTTCCAACATGGTCCTCAGAGGTGAAGACACATCTACATTTAGATTATTACTTAAGGATATACGGGGCAGCAGCAGTAATATATGATAGGTTACGTGATAGAGCCATGCGGCAGCTATATTACTGGTGTAGTTGTAGCACGAATAGGTCGGCTCGACCAGTGAAGCACCACGCCCGCACAGAATACCAGCGTAAAATAGCAGCATAACGCTGCTGTTTCGCGCTTTTTACTGGAAACGAAGCATTCCATCTTAGTCCTCACGGGTGACAGCGTATCTGCATTTTAATTCGTAATCGAGGATAAATGTAGTGTCTATGGGCCACAACATCCACTTACCATACGGCGGATTGTGTGCTTATCCTATAAAAAAAACTCTCATGGTGATGAAAAATTAATTAAAAAAAATCTCAACCATCCTCCTTTCTATCTTTTAAATTCAAAATGCATGGTAATGCACACATTTGTAAGGGTCGATCGGTAGATAAAAACGCTGTTGCCCCATAAATCACATTCAATTTGGGATAATGTCAAATAAAAGTAGAAGCCTTGTTTACTCGCATTTTCAAAAACTGCAGTAACGGTATATAATCATTCATCATTTATATATTTGAACTTAAATTTAAAATTTGGATATTCTTTGAGAAATAACTCTGTATGTAGAGATCTATGAGCTATAGTATTAATCTACTATAAATTGAACTCTGTACTGGTTTGGCACCCTTAGTTGCTTAAAAAATAACAGGAAAATAGCAATCAATAAACGGTAAGGTTATTCGATGTTTGGATTGCTGACATGACGGCTTTGGATTAGAATATCTTAATTTGGCTCTGCAAATACTAACACTTGCAAAAAAAAAGAATTTTGGGGAAGATGAGGTTTTGATGGATGAACACTAAAAAAACATGCAGGTGTCTATATTATTTATATTCCTATTTTTTTTCCTGCAGCAACTAGTTCAACACCAAACATAGGTAGGAGGGCAGCCTACTGTCCACAAGTAATCGCACGAGGGTTACACTGGAACTGGACTCAAGCTGGCCAATACGCTGTCCAGCCTTGTCCCGGCGGGGCAACTGGCTTGGCGAGGTGGACGTAAGTATCGAAATTTTTATTCCTCCAATGTATATTTTTTATTGCCTTAAGTATTTTCAAAGTGAGACTGCGCAAGCCTATTCACAAATGGCAGTCGTCCCTCCAAATATTTGCCCATACACTTGTTCTTTGCAGCCGAATTGGTGAGCTCCGTGAACTTTGACCTCCAACTAACAGTTTACCATATCACCATTTGTAGGTTGCTGAATCTGGTTTAATACTGGTAGTGGTGTGCATTTTTGTGCGAGTGATAAGTGCATTGTTAACATTATAATGATATAAAAAAGTCATTACCCCATTTCATACTTTGGTGTAGTAAGTCGACCAAGGCAAAAGCTAGGAAATTATTCAGCCTTAGGTGCCAGAAATGTCTGACCAATTAAAAGTCTAGAAAATGTTCGTAATTCGCCTGTAAAACGAAGTGATTATGTTAAATACCCTCAACTAGAGAAATCCTCAGGTCTACAGTTATTTTAGGTTAAATTAAATTTCAATTGGTTCTTTTAGTTCTGAACAGAACAGAAACTCTTATCGATTTCGGGTTATAGTTGCCTTTATAAAAATGCCCCTCTAGGCTAAGTGTCTTGAGTTAAAACATAAATTTACCGCTATATATTCCTTAACAATTACTCTAAGTCAGTTCTTTTTTGTATTTATGTTCAAGTGCGCTAATATTGTCTCGTTTTCAGATGTACACTGACAACCCACCAGCATATAGTGGAAGACGACCGACCGAGAAGACGCGGTATTGGCTTACAATCGGGAGAGAATTACCACGACTTGGGACTCGATCAGCCAAGCGAAAGGCAATTACAAATTATAAGAAGGCTTGGCTCCGAAGCGTTACTTAAAGGCAAGTCAAGTATATTGTAATTTACTAATATTACATTATTCTACAGATTTATTATTGTCCTTTGTCTTTCATTCGTTCATAGTTTTATGGTAAATTTTATTACTTTAATTTAATATAGGCTTTGTACTTAAGATATTAATGCTAATTTAATTCACAGGTCGTGATGGTGATTCTCCAGAGCATATGATCGATTATCGAGGAAGTTCAAGTATGCCCGATGCTCAAATTTCCAGTCATGGGGCAATTTCGAATGGTGATTTTGCTTATAGTGAGTGAGCTATTATATACCTTAAATTTTATTGTTCACGTAATTATTTTATAATACTTCAATATAGGTTAATTTAACATAAAAATAATTGTTAAGAAAAATAAAAAGCAATAGTCCGATTTCCTTATCATTTATTTTTTGTTATAACATCATGATCGTTCATGTTAATACTCTATAACTGTTTCAGTTTATGTATGTAAATATTTTATTTGATTTTCGAATAAAATAAGTATTACACTTTTTGAACAGCCGATTCAATTCCGGAATGGCACGGAGCGACACCCGACCTCAGCGAGTGCCGTTCCGTGTGGTTGAACAGCCTAGAAGCACGTGTGAGGGAAGGAGAGTCCTTACTCAGTATCAGTAATGATCTGGCACAGGTAAGATTTTGTTCTACGTAATGATTGTCTTTATGAGTTATGTGAAAGTTACATACGGAAGGCACGTAAACTGTTTAAAAATTAAAATACCGAAGTAATCTAATTCACTTGCCTTTGATTAAAATTATAATGGGCAATAGCATTCTCAAGTTCACTTAGCTTAGGGAATATGCGCTCGCCATAGAAATATAGGACTGGGAGGGGGGAGGGGGGGGGGATCCAGGATAGCAACTCACCAAAGTTTAATCGTAATCGGATGAATGATATAGGAACTGATAGAAGACATGATGATGATGATGATTACATGAAACAAAATAGCTCCGGGACTAAGAGTTCGTTGTAAATTTAAATTTTAGAGTACGCAAGTGGACCAAACCCCGGATCGAAATTTGCCGGCACCAATAAAGTTGTTAATTGCAATTTTAAGTGCTGATTTACCACGTGCTCGGCGGTAAAAGAAAACAGTGTATCAATGAAAAATTATTTTTATTAAAGCCATAAAATATATTTCTATTTTATGGCTTTAATGAAAATAATGTTATTATTGTCGCCAAAGCACACACGTTTTTATTGTTTTCTTGCAATCCTGTCCATCCAAAGGTTGTCTGGTAGAGATCGCCCTTAGCGATAAGACCGTCCATTGTACCACATTTCATTTTCTCATTTTTCGTTAATATTTATGTTATTTTATGGCGTACAATAAAGTGTTAGTGCTATCTATCTATCTTAACAATATTAATAGCGTTGCTAGTGTTTAAAAAAAACGATCCTGATTTTAAAAAAAGAACACTATTTTTTTTAAATATTCTAAACAGCATCGTTAATTCATTTCTACACGTCGTATAGTTGGTAGAATAAATAACAATCTAACATTATGATATTCCTTTTAGGTAACATCTTCAAAAACGCTGTACGGAGGCGACATGATGACAACTACGAGTATAATGAAGAAGTTAGCACAACGCATGTCACAAAACATGCAGACTTTTCCCGACCCTCGTCAGAGAGAGACCTTTGTCGCTGACATGCTTTTAGGAGTCATTAAAACCGGTAAGTGACTTAAAATCTAATTAAGATGGAAAAATAAAAAAAAGGAATATTTCTTTTCTTTTAGCTTGTATTATTATATATTCTGTGGTTTTAGTAAAATGGTCATTCACTTATTGACCTGACCTGACCCTTATTTCTAAAATTAAAATGTACTGACTAAAATTATTATTTATTGAAATATTTCTGCCGACTTCCAAAAAGGAGACCGTACTCAATTCGACTGTATGTTTTTTTATGTGTGTTGTTACCTCATAACTTTTTACTTGGTGAACCGATTTCGATGATTCTTTTTTTATTTTAAAGCTGATACTTGTCGTGTGGTCCAATATGAATTTTATCAAGGTCAGACCAATAGTTTTGGAGTTATTCTTAATAAATTATATTGAAGTCGGCTGTACAAAATTTTTAATTTTTAATTATTTTGAAATGTTTTTGTTATTGTTTAAATTTCTCGTGACGTTTAGCGCCGGCGTAGGATGATTCACTATCCTATATCATTCTGTGGATGTCGTAAGAGGCCACGTAGGGAAACTGAAACAGGAGATGGACAGCAGCATCTCCCTGTTAACACAATATAAGCCATCAACTCAACTCAACTCAACGCCAGCCAAGCGTTGCAAGCCATGGGTAGGCCTATGTTCAGCAGGACTTTGGATAGGTTGAAGTGATGCGTGGTTTGAACAAACATTCAGACCCAGGACAATTATTTATAGGCCATACAAATAGTAAACTTTTGGACGCTTTTCATTCATATGGGACCACATGAGAAGTATCAGCTTTAAAAGAAAAAAAGAATCATCGAAATCGGTTCACCCAGTAAAAAGTTATGAGGTAACACACTTAAAAAAAACATACAGTCGAATTGAGTACCGTCTCCATTTTGAAGTCGGCAGAAAAGTAGTTCAAATTCTTATCTGTTTATTTTGACGTGGTTCCTCAGTGGTTAAGCCGCTCGCTGTAAATTTAACAGTACAAATAATTAATTGATTAATTATTACTTAAATTGTTAATTGCAATTTCAAAGTGCTGATTTACCCCATACTGGTGAAGGAAAATATCCTGAGGAAACATACAAGTCTAAGAAATAGAATATATCGAGGATATGAGGAGTCCGCCAACACGCGTTGGAGCAACGCGGCAAGCTAATTACTCCATATAACCCTCTTAGAAATGAGAAGAGGCTTGTGCCCAGATGTGGGACTTATAAGGGCTATAATTTTACTTTATTTTTTACATACTTAGTCTATATATAAGTATGTAAAAATGTGCTAGAGCCATGCTGCAGCTATATTAGTAATATAATTGCAGCACGAATGGATCGGCTCGTCCGAGGAGGGACCACGCTCTCACAGAATACCAGCGTGAAATAGCAGCTTAAGGCTGCTGTGTTTCGTATGGTGAGTGTAGAGAACCGGAGAGCCTTATTACTGGAAACGAGGCATTCCATCTTAGTTCTCACAGGTGGCAACGCATCTGCATTTTCATTCGTAATCGAGGATAGATGTCTATGGGTCACAGCAATCACTTACCATCAGGTGTACTGTATGCTCGTTTGTCATCCTTATCTTATAAAAAGACACTCAAATTGTTATCAACTTATCGCCAAGGTGACAGATTCTCCTACAACATGAAGAATATACATACGATAATAATATGTACGATTAACAAAACAGGAAAATAAAAGGTAATGTTATATAATAATAACTTTTTTTATTACTAAGGATCAAACCTTCTAGAAGAAAGCCAACGCGCCTCTTGGTCGGATCTGAGCACCGAAGCTCAGAACCGCGTCGCGAGCGCCTTGCTCACACAACTTGAAGAAAACGCTTTTCTCCTAGCAGATGCTGTGACCAAAGAGAAGACGATACTTCAGATTGTCAAAAATATTTGTAAGTACTTATTTCTTTTTATTGTTATATGTTAAGGATTATAATGTTTAATTTTAAATTTATTGGACTATCTATAAAATTGATGTGACGTACAAACTAACAGTCACCTGGTGGTTAGGGCTACAGCAGCCGATTAACACCTGCCAATGAAACTGCCTGTAATAATAAGCCAGTTATTATACTGCCTCTCTATACCATGCAGTGCATTGTTGTGTTCCAGGACATTTCACAGGAATCGAGCCATTATTACAGGTTTCTAGATATCCATCTCTCGGCGATGATTAATAGATTAATGACATTGATAGATAGTATATATATATATATATATATATATATATATATATATATATATATATATATTATCCATCCTCACCATCTGGACGCATGGCGGTCCACGACTGTGCGTTTTCCTAGGAGTTTTCTTCCTCGTACGACTTCTCTATGGAATTGTTTACCACCGGCGATTTTTCCGGACCGATACGACTTAGGGACCTTCAAAAAAAGAGCTTACACCCTTCTAAAAGGCCGGCAACGCATCTGCAATTCCCCCGGTATTGCGGTTGTTCATGGGCGGCGGTAGTCACTTACCATCAGGTGAGCCGCATGCTCGTTTGGCCTGTCTTCTATAAAAAAAAAGTAATTTAAATATTACAAGCTGGTACATATCTGGGATAAAATAAACTTAATTGTTTGAATTTCACTTCGTGTCTGTTGTCTGATGTATTGTATTTAAATATGCACAGATTTTACTTTGATATTGACTTGATAACATTTTAACTTAGAGAATTTCTAATTTAACTACGTTGCGTTAATTTTATTGAAATTGTTTATTTAAAAATCGAAAGCATTCCTTTTCTTTTTCCTATATTATATAGAGAAGTAATATAGAAGTATGTTATGGCTGACTGAAATATAACGTGTGAAATCTATACAAATAAATAAAATTGAAGTGTCTGTTTGTAATGTCAAAATAACAGCTTTTTACTATATGCATATGAGAGTACATACGGTAAATATAACAAAAACACGATTTTTAAATTTTTTGTCTGTCTGTTTGTTCCGGCTAATCTCCGAAACGGCTGGATTGATTTTGACGGGACTCACTGGCAGATAGCTAAAATTATAAGGAGTAACTTAGGCCACCTTTATTGTAGAAAAATTATTAAGGTTACGCGCAAAAAAATTAAAATCCATAAAATCTAATCGTAATAAATTGCACGCGGGCGAAGTCGCGGGGCACAGCTAGTTGTGTAATAAGGGAAAAGTGTGATTTAAAAGATGTTATGCGTAGGATTAAATAGGAAATGCTCCGATGGATGATACAAAAGGAGTAGACGGAAGTTCATAATATATGAAATTGGCGATATATTGAAGATGAGCGAAATTAAGAGTACTCTTAACCGACGAGCATGTATGCGTAAATATGTGGAGTGGAAAAATGCGAGAGAAGTGTATCATGATCGTGCCAAATGAAAGTCAGTAGTATTTGCCTACCCTCTTAAGTAACAGGCGTAAGAGTTTATGTTCATGTTATAAAAAAATGCAAATGCTTTTTTACTTACATATACAACATGTAACAAAAACCATGTGGTTCCCGTTAAGTACGTTATCAGGATCATTATTCAAACGTATAGATATAATTTTTTTTTAAAAAAAACTCGAACAATATATTTTTTAATTTAATTAAAAAAAATTGTATGCAAATTGTATGTGGTTTTATTACCTCTACATTGTCCGGGGAGTAAGAGGATTGTCAAAGACCCCGCTTTACTTGGCTTTAGCATCGGCTAGTGTCAGTAAGATGTAATAAAACCATATAAAATAAAAAAAAATAATAAAATAAAAAAATATGTTCGAGTTTTAAAAAAAAAGTTATTTCTAGATACGTTTGAATACTGATCCTGATAACGTACTTAACGGAAACCACAGGGTTTTTGTTACATGTTGTATAAATAGTGCTAGGAATAAAATATTAATTGTTATATTTCAGGCCTTTCTGTAAGGGTGTTAGAAGTGAAAAGTGTCGAAGATGAAACATTTCCATCAGTTATCGCTCAAGAACAATGGAAGGCATCTGAAGACACGATAACTATTCCTAAGGCTGCCTTGATAGGTAAGTTTTAGCAATTGTTTTAGAATAAATTATGTTATATATTATGATAATTAATGTTACTACAAAATTTTAGTTTTTTTTTTTTACTTATTCATGAAATATCTGGCTCGAAGGATCAAGTACATTTTCTCACTTTCTATAATATATTATGACACAATTATTTGATATAGCGAATCTGAAAGAAGTCAAAAGAGATCAGAATCCAAAAGTAAATAGCATTTTAACACAATGCATTATCTTATTGTGACTTAATTTGGCAACAAAATTTCGTATAATATTCAAAATTGTAAATTACAGATAATCGGCAAAAAGACTTAGTGCGAATTGTATTTTTCGCGTTCGATCGCCTCGAGCAAATACTTCCACCGACTTTTGGCAAAACTCCGCAATTCGCTGCGTATGCCTCAGACCCCGCATCGTCGGCCGCGACCAGTATCAATTCTGAGAGAGAAAAGAAGAATATAACGAGGGTTTTGAATTCAAAGGTAACAATATTTTACATTTATTTGTATCTCTTACTAGCCGCATACATCATCACGAAGCTACACTCGCACGAATGTCCTTGTTTATATAAGTTATATTGACAAACGAGGACACAGTTTACTTGATAGTAGGCCGACGCTGGCTCATTAACACTTACATCTATCTTCAACTCAAAATTAAAATGCAGCTGCTTTGTCATCATACAAAATATTGCATCATTATTATTTTACGCTGGTATTCTGTGAGAGCGTGGTTCTTCTCCGTCAAGTCGACCGGTTTTGCTGCTGCCGTTATACTCCTGCAAAATAGTTTTACCAGGTTATAAACTAACTTTTAACTCACTGTGAACAGAGAAGAGGTTTTTAATTTGACTATATTTCTTATTTTTTAAAGTACCTAATGTTTGTTGACTGCTGAATATTCGCCTGAAGACTTTCACAATACTCAAATATAAAAAAAAACTACCAAGTCTAATAATATTTTACACATTTCTTTTAGACCTTTTTTATTTTCATTAACATCCATATCAGAGTGTTCATGTTTAATTTTTTTTTACAACTTCCCTGTCCGCTAAAGAGACAATAGTTAAATAATCGAAATGTTCATATATGACTCACGGTACAGTGAAATGGTTAAGTTTATTCTTTCATATGTAATTAAGTAACGCTACAAATAAAAAGCAAGTGAAGAAAAGGTATGTGTTGTAATTAAATATTTCTTTTATTACATTAATTTTATTAATTCACCAGGTAATATCAGCGAGTTTAGGCAACGGTCGTCACATACAACTGTCGCAAATGGTGCGACTCACTATGAAACACTTGAAGACTGAAAACGTAACTAACCCAGTTTGTGTATTCTGGGATTATACTCTACAGTAAGTTGATACATGTATAATTATTACAAATTTCTCTTCACCTATATTAAAATTATTTTTAATCTGTTTCAATCAGATTAATTTGTTTTCTACATCTATTAATTATATAATCTTTCGAATTGTGAAAAATCAGTTTACTTTGACATATTTAAAAGTATTGAGTTGATGCAGTCCTAATTTGCCGAATTAAATTTGAACCTTCAAAAATAGTAATCCAATTTCCTACAAATACGAGTGTATTACTTTTTAAGCCAATCAAAATTAAATTTTGTTTCAACATACAATTGATTACTTTAGTGGCTGGTCTCCTGAAGGCTGTCAAGTGGAATGGTCGAATTTAACTCATACTGGTTGTGCGTGTTCCCACCTTACGAACTTCGCGATATTAATGGACGTCCATGGAGTCGCTTTGAACCACGCCCACGAGATGGCGCTGCGGATCATAACGTTGATTGGTTGCGGATTATCGTCTATTGCCCTAGTCGCAGCTATTATTGTGTTCCAGTGCTGTAGGAATATGAAGGTGAGTTGTAAAACACGATAATGAATTATATATGTATAAGTAAATTAAAAGTACAAAAGTGTTTACTAGCCTATATAAGCCCCACTGTTAGGCCTGCATTCATTTTTAAGAGGGCTTTAGGCCATGCAAATTTCCGACGCACTTCCCCAATGCCTGTTGGCGGACTTCACTGCCTTTCAAATAATTTTTTTAAATTCTCAGATATGCAGATTTTCTAACGATGTTAGCAAGTGGTAAATCAGCAAATAAAATTGCAACTAACGCTTTCATTGCCGTCGGTGGGGATCAAACACGGGTTGCTTGGCACTGTGAAATTTACCACGACAGCTAAGTCAGAGGCTACCACGGCTCCAATACTTAACATGAAAAATATAAAATAAATAATATAAAATATGTCTGATGCTCTCATGAGGAGGGACTCCCTTTCTTCCTATCTGTTAGTATGGAGTATCTGGGTATGGTAACACCCTCCTTTTTAATCCAGCTGCAAAACAGCAGTGTACCTACTGATGCGTTACGATTGGAACGACATAGAGAATCACAATAGTCTGTGAGGTATGCCACGTCAGTGCTCAGGATATCGCATCTCTCTTAGATTTCTTTGTCTGAAGTTAGTTGCATCTGTACTTGGGCTACCGTGGCCATTTCACATCGTGTATGCTGTTTACCTTAATTTCTTTTGTAACTAAATGACAATACTTAATTTAGGAAAGACGATAAAAGGGGATCCATCACCGTATATTGTACAGCGCGACTATGGGAAATTCTAGAAAGTTCTAATTGCCTCTGTAGTATAACCATTTCGTCTCTGCCTGATGTAAAACATTCAGAGCTATGACAAACAGCAACTTTAAGGGTATGAGATTTCTGACTGACGGACTGTTATGAAAAAAGGAAGATCTAAGAACTACCTCTGTTTTTAGATGTTTTTCCTTTTTTTCTTTTTTCATTTAATAAGAGTAATTTTGATACGATGTCTTACGTACGGAGGCATAGATAAACACATTCAGATTTAAAGAATAACATTTGCGGTATTACACAAATGTTAACTCCAACTTGAATTGAAGCTGCGGGGCTTACGCTGACCATGACGATGACAAAAGGAATTTATTTAACTTCTGTTTTTCAGTCGGACCGAGTGTTGATACACAAACACCTGTGCTGGTGTCTCTTGATCGCCGAGATAATATTCATGGTGGGGATAGATCAGACTCAAGACAGGATTCTGTGTGGCATTATAGCTGGTCTACTCCACTATTTCTTCTTGGCTGCATTCGCTTGGATGTTCTTAGAAGGTATGCTTCAAGAACTATTAAACGTTTTTGCTGTACCTACAGTGCCTTAATTACATCTCTTAACACTTCTCATACAAGGTTCTCTTACAAATTAACCATTTGACTAATTTACATTATTAGTTTGAGTGTAAGGCTTAAATTAAACCATTTAGTAATAAAACTATAACTAATATACGAGTATATACTAACTAATGATAACGAACCAATCGGTTTGCTTTGTCGTTCCTAATAGATATAGCATAGGAGTGGAATAATTTGTCGACGTTCATCTTTCAATCCACGACGGCTTCGTGAAGGCTCCGTGGCGCAGTGGTTTAGCAATAAGTTGCAGCACCAAAGGCCGCGGGTTCGAATCCCGCACGGAACAAGTATTTGTATGGTCAACAAATAATTATGCCGGGTCTGGATGTTTGTCCTTGTGAAATTTATGTATGTAAACTAGTCTAAAATTTATGTATGTAAATTTATGTATGTAACTAGCCACGATACAGGAGAAAATCCTAGTGTGGAGGTAACATTAAAAAAAAAGAAAAAAATTGCAATTAGGTGTGAGAGTGAGAGGGAAGGGTTATAGTGTATGATGTTTACAAGCTGTTAAAATATATTATATGCTTGTAACACTTTTCGAAATTAAGATGCTAAATAATTTGGTTCGCCATTTTCTAGGATTCCATCTATACGCCATGTTGGTGGAAGTATTCGAGCCGGAACGTCCTCGGGCCCGGTGGTACTGCGCGGGTGCATATCTAGCCCCAGCTCTGATAGTTTTGGCTTCTGCGGCCGCCTATCCAACTGGCTACGGAACACCGCAAAGCTGCTGGCTTTCCACGGATCATCTGTTTATCATGAGCTTTGTTGGACCGGTGGCTTTGGTTGTTACGGTGAGTGGCATTATTATTAAATTGATAATAGTAACAGTGTTATGTGTAATTTAAGTTTACTATACACGTTAAATAGCAGATTTTTATGTATGGCTCAATTATTAACTCCCGCAAAATCTATTTTTTTTTTTGGAAAATATTTGATATTGAATATTTTTTTTCTAAGTTTACAATGACATATTAAGCGCACATAATTTTTCTTGTTTTTTGGTTGTGTTTGTGTCTTTATCGATAAAATATAAAAAAAGCTTTACACACTTCTAAATAATTAGTAAAAAAAAACTAACTAACCTGCTTGAAGTTATGGCGGGAGCTTAACAAAGCTCCTGTATTGTAGCGACAATTCGCTTAAATAATCGTGTCAGAAGTTTGATACGTGAAAGCGTTCTGCTTTTGCGTATTTTAAAAATATAACATATAAATCTCAAATTACTTTGTCTGCTTAGATGCCTCGAAATACTATTGCTAGGGACTGTAAAAAATCACTAATATTGTATCTGAAAACTATACTAATATTGTATCGATAAATTTTTTGAATTGTTACTTTCTGTTTAAATCGATAAAATATATTAAAGTTTCATGTATCAAACTGAAATAATAATTATAGTTATTATTTACAGGCTAATTGGATCTGCTTGGGTCTGGTTATTTACATGATGTGTCATCACACTAGCGTATCCATCAAAGCGAAAGAAAACTCAAAGTTGTATAAAATAAAGTAAGTTTTCGCAATATCTATTAATCATTAAAAATTAATTACCTTATTATGTGACTTTCATTATTTATAAACTAATTATATTCCATATTTAATTTTTAGGGTTTGGCTGAACACATCGGTAGTTCTAGCGGTACTTCTTGGTTTAACTTGGACCTTTGGTGTATTGTATCTCAACGAACAGACAGTGGGAATGGCATACGCTTTCACTATACTCAATTCGTTCCAAGGGCTCTTCATCTTCGTGTTCCACTGCTTATTGAATGAGATCGTAAGTGTTTTACTACCTTATGTTTTATTTACATTTAATATTTCTATTGGTTATTATAGTAAAACTAATAATAGGCGTATTTTTATTTTTTGACATGAATTAACATTTAAAAAAATATTATTGTTAACCAAAACACTGACCAAAGCACGGACTGAAGTTAAATAATTACTTTTACCAGAAAATTCCATTGTGGTGACAACATAACTTGATCGTATCCAATTCACAGTTTAATCTTTCGAGTTTAACTAACATATCGATCTCAATTGTTTTAGAGTTACAAACTCAACCATAATAGTTATATATAGAATATAATATTTTTAATAATTATGTATGGAAAAACAAACCACAAAACTAATAATAACTCTTCTAAAATAAACATGATGATATTTAGTTCCAGAAGGAATGCGCACGTCTCGGTCGTCGACATTCATGGCTCTCTTGCTGTTTATACTTCACTACACAGTCATCGCAACCATTGCCACATAATATGCCGGCCACGGCATCTTCTTCCAATCACGTGGATACACGTCAGGGTTCAGTAAAAAGCCGTAGATATCACCAAAGTACGGCAGCTGATGAAGATATTGTCGATCCACGAGAAGTGACGGTAAGAATTCTCAAAATGTATCTAAATTATTTCACATACTTGTTGGAGGGAAAGGTAAATATTTTACTAACTGAAAGTTTGGTGGGGCATTTGTTAGTTCGAATGGCAAGAAGATGTTTATTGTCGTTGTATTTACCAATTCTGACTAGGACTCCATATTTTTAATACATGAAAAACTGTTTTCAATTTAATTCAAATCAAGTGTATTTAGCCACTATGTTGTGTATGTAAAAAAAAATGCAGCTTTTTATTAGCGATTATTGATTATAAACGTGCTTGTAAAAGATAAGGCAAAAGACCAGTCTAATAAAAACATACGAAAATCAAGAAATATCAAAATTGATAAGTCAAATGGCGATATAAATAATAAATAGTAGTTATTAAAAAAATAAACACACATTTTACCTCTTAGATAACTTAAATCTTTTACACTTTTAAACAAGCCAAAGGTTCTCAACACTGTATTATCATTTAAAAAAAATTGTTTTATTTATGACTTATGAAATCTTATTTCGCATTATGAAGGGTATAGGAAAAGAAAGGTTTCTTTAATATAAAAAGAACCATAGATAATGACTAATTAACATTTTAAATTTAATTTTTTTTTAACTTAGAATACGAGTTAACGAAAAATGGATTTGTTCTGGGAATTATTGTAAACTATACTAATTTTCTTTAATGTTTTCTCTCGTCATTTTTGTTGCATTATGCATTTTAAGCTGGTTCAAAACGTAATGAGCTTTTTTTAGTTGTTTGTTAATTTGGATTTAATAAAATAACTATGATTCAGTTTATACTTTTCAAAATAGTTTTTAATATTATATAGTTTTTTTTTTCTAAAAACTGTTGAACCTTGTTTGTCCTATACTCTTCATATTTCAACTCAGTTGATTAAGGAGGTAAAAGGCTGGGACAAAATACCAATAGACTTGATTATCTCATTATAGTAAAGGTGAATGGATACTTAAATGCATATAAATAATTTTATATTTTTGATTTTTATATGATACTATATTAAGCTATTTAAATGAACATAGTGGTTTTTTAACATAGGACCAGCTGCAATGCTAAAATAAACTTTTTGGATTTGTTTACAACTTTGCCCGTTAGAGAATTATAAGTATGTTAAACTATACTTTATAATTATGATGAGATTAAGACAATTAAATCATATTTTGCGTTACAGAATATAGATAAATTAAGGAAATTAAGAATACACATAATTACTACTTATATTATAAGTAATATCCAAGTTATTAAAGCTTTGCAGTTGACCAACATATTATTTAATTTTATTTATTATTTAACCTAAGTTCACTTAAGTTATTTGATTTATAAATTGCATTCTGACAGAACTCAACAAACGCTTCGGTGGCAAACAACCTCGTCATCAACAACTTGAATGTTGTTGTCAACAATAACAATCACAACAACAATAACGTTATCAATAACGCAGCGGTAGCTTCCTTAGCCGCTGCAGCTGCTGCACATAATTACCACTCCCATAGAAATAGAAGAAACTCTCAGGAGAATCAGAATTTCAGTCCTTCGTCCAACTTTGGTCCTACTCTCAATGCCACAGCGGCTAATTTCGCTCACAATATCCCTGAAAGAGAACCACCCGCGGCAATGACGCATTTAAGAAGTCCTATTAATCCTGGCAGTGGTAGATACCCTCAAGGATACCGGCAAAATGTTCAGCAAGGTACGTGTCGCATACATAGAGATAGGATTCCATACAAACGTAAAATAAATTTAAATTTTTAAAAGAAACCACCTAAAAACACCACTTCAGCTTTTTTTTGTTATAACTAATTGGCCTAAAACAGCTCAGTTCATTTGTCTACTTTTTTAACAATTTTATTATTTTAAGTTTATGTCCGCTGTGTAACTAACAGTAGTCTTTAATTTTTTTTATGTTACGTGAAACGAAATGTATTTTTAATTGTTTTCTTTAAACGGTAAGTCATTTTATTGTTTCCTTTCTTTTTATCTTTTTCTCACAAATAATAAAACTAACGCTTTTATTTTTCTATAGTACTAACATAATTAATTAACAGGATTTTCTTACTCCCTTTAGTGGTGTGGTGGTTATTTAAAGTAGCTGTATTGCATCCCATCAACGATTTCATGGCTACAAATATTCTAACCATTTTGTAACTCACATTGAATATTGCAATACAAAAATCCTATCTCTAGTTAATGTGATGCGTATGTTGAATTGCTATACAAGTAAAACCATTCTTAAAAATTATGATTATTTCTCTTATTTTATCTATCTGTTTACAACGAACATCCTCTCAAAAATGATTTCAGGTTGTCGATGGTTGTTGGGTCTGTTGATATCTAGTAACTGTAAGACTATCTATATATTTAAGTAAATATATGTAATATATGCTTGTATACAACTTTTCTAACTATATAAACAGAGTTACAACATTCAACCGGAGCCATCAAGGTGGAATGTGCGACCAACCGCACCTATATACGTGCCAAATGACGATACAAGATCAGTTCGGGCACCGACGCCACAAAATATACCTCATAGCTCCTCACACACGCAAAGCATAGCGTCAATGCATAGCTACAGGAATAATATTGAAGTACCAAACGAATACCAGAACTTAAGGTCGCGGTCGCCATCTTGTTTCTCGAACAAGATGGCAGCATCGATTGGCGCGAACGACTGGGCACTAATGGCGAACACGATCGGTGGCAATGTCTGGAAGGTGAGGGGAGGGCTTTGTGGCTTGTGTCGGCACTATTAGAGTGACATTTTACACTCATACGTATGCTTTAGTAAGATCTCGTGTAGATTCGAAATTGCTATTAAAATAGTGAGACGCCAGTATAATCGTATTATTTATAAAGATTACTCATTTCAGGAGTCATAAAGACCTTAAACTATTTATCGTTCATCTTAAATAGAAAAATACTCGACATAAATAGAACATAGCAATTAATTTTATTGACATAAGTGTAACAGGTAGAGTATCTCTATCGCAATATTTCGTGACTAATGATTAGTTATTTGTCATATTCTTAAGTTAAAAACTTGCTGTTTATTCGAGAAGAGGAAAAATTTAAATAGAATATATATATTTTGTAATATATTATTTTTGTTATATAATCTTAATTAATTATGATTCATTTATTATACAAACATTAATATATTTCTTTTTAAATCCTTGACCATAGCTTCATATAAACATACAGGTGTTGGCTATAGTTCGTCTACAAATCTAAGAGGTCTTACTGAAGTCTTTACATTATATTTATAATTGCATGAGACCTAACATAGAGTAATTTTGCATGATTTCATTCCTAAATCGCACATTATCTGTACATACATCAGCAGCCCATCCCACCTCCTTCTATCTCTTATATCTAAACTCTTCACATTAGACTCATAGTTTCAGAGTGTTTGTATTAAGCATGTTTCATAGAATAGAAGGATTATTTCCAATGTTATTAAGTAAATAAAAGTTAGGTCAAAGTTACGCATGACTTAAATCGCACATGCAAAACATAGATCGTTTAGGTAATCATTAAAAAAAATCACCAATTGAAATTAAATCTAGTAGTAACTAACTTCTTAGATGTATAGAGTTATTTTGATATTCTCTTTATATTTTTATAAAATTTATTAAACGCTTTTGGCAATTAAAAATATTATAAGTAATATTGTTACGAATGTATTCCCAATTATCTAAATATACTTTACAAATGTTGATAATAGACAGTTCTAGCCAAGTGACTATATATATATATATATATATATATATATATATATATATATATATATATATATATATATATATATATATATATATATATATATATATATATATATATATATATATATACACACCTATTTGTACAATGACGAATATAGCCTAATATAAACCCACCCGTTTTGAAGCGTTCGACGTCAACAATTTTACTGATAATGGTAACTTGTGAAAACGATAATAAAATTACCTGCCTCAATGATATTATATATTAAAGCCAGCTAACTTTTTTTTTCATTCTGTAATCCCCTTGGCTAATTTTTACATCACTAAATATCGGTCCGGACTTTTGTTAATTCTAATTTTAATTGATTTTAATTTAACATATTTTAATATTTGATTTGGTTATATTTTTAAATACTTATTTAATTGAATGCCGGCGCTTTGGGACTAGCAGTCTCTTTAACTGTCTAATTAAACCTTAGGGTGGCTCAAGGGACATCCCAGCCGCACCTAAACGTACAGGCAAACACATTCAGTATTTCTCGTTGTTCACTCGGTATTTGTAAAATTTTATTTTTCATTATATCCATCGTATATCGTTTGTGACTTTTGCATCTTTTAAGCTTTTTATTAATCCTTGCGAAAAATGATGTTCAAGTCAGTGTTATAGAATCTCGTCATCAGTCGGCAACTAATATTTTTTCCGCTCGTTTAGTAATCTCCCCTATTATAATGGATTCCAGAAAATGATACAGCAATACCTTATAATCTTGTTATAATGTTAATAACTCTTGTTGGTTTTCACTTGTCGATTGATTATGCAAGATATCTGGTATTAAACAGGAGATGAAACATTTAATATTTTACATATATAGCATATAATAATTATTTTATTCGCCACATTGTAATTTTTCTTCAATTATTGTACGTTTTTAATTATTTCTTTGTATAATATTTATGCTACTTGATTGCTTCAAGCATTAAAATAACGACCATGAAATGAGCTGTTTCATGTTTCTAATATTGAACGCATCTAAAACATGTTCGATCGAATTATTTATAAACCTGTCTTCATTTAAATTGTTTTTGGAATTTCTATTTAAAGTAGAAGATTTAAAGTCAAAGAAAATTACCTTAATATTTTTTTTAAATTATGATTTTATTTGAATCATCTTAGTTAGAATGAATATTAATAGAGTATTAAATTTTATTTATTTGCAGAACACTTCTTCTAAGCACCACGCAGGGAACACGTCAACTCTTCCTCACCACGACACCCTAACCAGGCAACTCCAACAGAACCACATTCACAGTCCTTACGAATGTGAAGCACCACTAGCACCCGGGTCACCGCGTCACATCAAGGACGAGGAGAGTCCCCTCCACCATCCGCAAGGCTACCAAACCACCAGGAGCTACAACCAGGACTTCAGGAACCCACACGTTTACATGTCCCAACATTCCCCCGGTAGTCAGGAGATGATCTTCCGGAAGCATTACAAGGACGACCGACGCAAACATCACCATCACCACGGAAGTCAAAACGTGAACCATACGTATTCGGAAATCGCGGCGCAACAAGGCCGGCTGTACAGACGAGGGTCCGAACAGGAATTCCGGGTGATACAAGACGATCCGGTTTATGAAGAAATCGAAAGGAACGAGACCCTAATGTCGGATATGTCCGACGACAACTCTGGTCCGGACAACTGCAGACAGAACCCTGGACACCACGGCTCGTCCAGTTCCAAGTTCTTTGGTGATCATCGTCCCTTGATATCTTACAGTCCTGGAGACAGGCATCATCACGAACAGGAGCATTATGGAAAGTACGGAAAATGGGACACTCTGGATCGGGCGTACGATAGACATGCATATGAAAGCGGCAGATTGGTGCACCCGTATCACCAGCCCCAGGAAAGTAATATGAGGGCTCTGGCAGCTGTTCTTAACGGAGAGAATAACGTCGTATGTCACTTAGAGCCGCATAACTCCTACGACGGTTATCAACCGCAAAGCGGGAATCCCAGGACTGTTTCGCAACCCAGTTTCTAAGGTTTTTCTAATCCAGTGCAATCGAGTGATCTAGATTCGAGACGGTCTCAAGTTTAATTCGCGTGTTATTATCTGATTATTAAAGACATTGTACAGAAATATCGAATGAGTTTTTTCTATGGACGTAGACATAGAAGATTGTCTAGTGACACGTTTAAGTGATAGCATTTTATGTAGAAACTTGCCATAATGTGGACTTTTAAACTATATTATATTTATAGACGGTTAGATGTAAAAAACTTAAATTTAAATCACTTTTTCCACTGTGATCCTATTTAAAAATAACGGCTCAAGTTTCAGTGTTGCGACCAGGTTACTTTATGGCGGGAGATGTAATAGCAATTTGTGTATATACTTAGCATTTAGAATTAGTGAATGTACTTCCAGCGTGACCTTACTGTTTTCTCCTGACGGAGTTTTCCGTTTCACGTATCATGGCATTATCACGGTGTGCATTTTATCTGTTATCGTAATTTTTAAAGATCTGTGATGTTTCATTTATATGCTTTAGATAAGTATTTCGTTGATACTGCTGTTTGTCTACACTGCCACAAATGGTACCTAGGCTGGACATTTTTAGCGTTTCTAGATTTACTGGCTACCTCAAGCCGCCTTCAGACTGTTCTGCAGCTTTTCGTTCTTCTTGGAAGCGTTTTAAAAAATCCATCCAACCTATTATAGACTGACACTACTTGATGTTGTGCACTTTCCTGTATGTTAGAAGTTAGTGTTTAAAAGAAGTTTTACTTAAAACAATTTGATTAAAAAAAATGTTAAAAAAATATTATTTCTACGTATAGTAGATTTAATTTTAATGCCATGGATAAACTGTTAATTTTATACCTTACAATAAATATTAAGGAATTGTTTATTAGAATTGATACAAGTACAATAACTATGCATTTGTTCTCATGTATATTTTGGATCGATTAAGCAATATATTAGACTGAAGTATTTAATAAATTGTTGGCCGTTAATATATGAAGTTTACGCAAAGCCAAAATTTATGAAATACTTTCTTTATTGAGGAAAAAATGTGAAAAAAAAATGATATCGTGGGACGGTTTATTTTTTGTAATTGGTATACTAGTCTGACCTTCTCTCCCACTATCTAAATATATGTAATTGTACATTACGTCACGTGTATTTATGTTACATATTTTTTTGTTTTGATTGTATTTTTAAAAGAACGTTGACGAGTATATTAATGTAAAGTAGGAAAAACAAAATGTGTAAATAATTTAAAGTTTATATAAATAAAGAGTGGCTGTTCTGTGAGGACGACCGCAAATTGAATTTGTTCTTTTTATTTTTATTTCGCATTTGAATTTATTAAATATAACATGGTTGTTCGTCTGTAATTCTATTAGTTTAATAACAGTACTACACCCTTATAATATCATTTTCTTCTCTTCATCGTTCCGTACCTATTTTATCATTAAAGGTTTTTTCATTCCACCATAATTCGAAAACGGCGATGCCCTTAATCGACTTTTACATCTTCCACGGGAAAAAAATAAAGTTTAGTTAGGTCGCCACCACTAGTAAACAGGTAGACATTAGCGGCCTTATCCATAAAATCGTTGATTATCGCTTATTTAAATTAATTATCTACCTATTAATTGTCTTTCTTTTATTATTTCAAGAGAGAGAGAGAGAGAGAGAGAGAGCGAGAGAGCTATAAGCTATAACCATTGACAAATTTTACGTCGATTTTTATGAGTAAGGCCGTAGATTTGTAATAAAACAAAACACAAATTATGAATTGAAAATTTATTTCTTATATCTTAATGACACGTGATTATTAGTTAAAAATTCTGATTACTGTCATCGCGAACTATAGTTAGAGAACAATTCACTTATGCTAAAAATTTTGTATAAAACTTTTAAAAAAATTGACATCCAAAAGCAAAAGGGAGATAATGATTTCTTATATTTACGCGAAGACTACACATTAAATGAAACTAATTTTTACGGATTTTATCGCGTTTACTTTAACTTTTTAATTCCCGACGTATCGAGTGCTTTATAGCACCTATGGTCACGGGGGGGGGGGGAGACTGAGGTGTGTGACGCCCAGATGTCATAGTTAGCCCGGCTACCTTCAGTTTTTGAATATAAAATTTTGGTCGACAAGGTTGGCTACATCTTAAAGCGAGCTTCCATTAAAACATACTTCAAGCCACCGAAGATGATTAGTCAATTTTTACACATCCAAGTGTTATATCCCTCTACAAAATGCAGGAGTGTACAAGTGTATCTCTTACATAGGACAAACAAAAAGATTTGTAAAAACCCGAGTGAAAGATCATATGGCTGACTTGAAGCACCGACGTACTGGGAAGTCTGCAGTGTGTGAACATGTTCAAGATCGTCCCCGCCATTACATTAGATTTGATAGACCACAAATCCTCGCAAAAGAACACTGATTACTACCAAGGATGATTCGCGAGGCTATTGAAATTAATAAACATCCTAATTGCAATAGAGAAGATGGATGTGTGTTGCCATCTGCTTGGGATCCTATCATTAATAAAATTAAATCCAAACCCAAGCATACAAGACTTCAAGATACTGTAAGCTCGTTCTGCGTTGGTCGGAGCAAAAATTAATATTCAAAAACTGAAGGTAGCCGGGCTAACTATGACATCGGGACGTCAATCACCTCAGTCTCCCCCTTCCCGTGACCACGGGTGCTGTAAAGCACCCGAAACGCCGGGAATTAAAAAGTTAAATTAAACGCGATAAAATCCGTAAAAATTAGTTTCATTCAAAAGGGAGATCTTTGAAAAGGCATACAAACAATCAGTTGCCAAAAATGAGATCTAATTTTTGAAAATTCTATAACCGACGAAAATTGTCTAAACCTTATATTACGAAAAATTAAAACAAAAATCAATCACTTCCAAATAATACGTTATTTTTATTTCTAAAATAAAATAATGGGTAGGTACTGATTTCATTACACTTGCGATTTTAAAATTAAAAGACCTATTTTAAGCACCACCCGCTAAAAAAACTAAAAAAGAATTTTTCACGAAAATAATTTTGAACGAGATCCAAATAATGTCTGAAAGAAATGTCACAAGTACATCGTCAAAAGAAATACATCAAATTATATAATCTAACTAACTACTTAAAATTAAATTTGATGATGACATGTAATCGCGCATAAATGTGCCTGGAGGTACAAAGAACATCGCTATCTATATTAAAATTATCAAGATAATGTTAAGACACATTATGCATGTGTTTCGTAGGCACAAATAAATTAGTATGAGTTGGATTTTACCTTTTCCCGCCATTAATCTATGTCGGGAAAACATAATGGTTTTTATATCATATTAAAATATATTGAATACTTTTTGTTGTTTTTATAAATATATAATATACCTACTACAAATATTATAAAAGTTCACTAAACTGAAATAAAAATGCGTATTAGGACATTTAACTGTCAAAATAAAGTCTTGTATCATTTACTAACTATATGAGTAACCACAGAAAAAAAGAAGTAAAGTTAAACTTTATAACATGCCAGTGTGTTATTATTTATTAAAGTAGTAAAATGTCCCCATAATAACGTGTTCCACTATTAGGTATATTTTAGATAGATAAACTTGTGCTTTGTAATTAATTCATTGAAGTCATTGTCTCTCCTGGCAAAATGTCAAACGAAACAAATTACAATGAATAGGTATTACGAACGTTTGATTAATAAGCAAGGAATGTAATACATTCTGTACATATTCCAATACTAAACGTAGTGATTTTATATGACTCTGTCCAAGGCATCAAAGTGTGCTAAATGAATCATTTATTTTTATATGTAAAAAAAATACATAAAGAAATACAGGCAAAAATATTTTGATATATTTTAGTAAGAATAATTTTGTAAATTTAATTTAATTTATTTTATTAAAATATATTAAAATAAAGATAACGACGCAGAAAACTCTTACTTTGTATTCTGTGTCCAGATTAAAAATTCCATATAAGTCTAAAAACTAAAAATATCCACTATTAATAAGTTAAAAAATCTATAATTATTTGTGCCTATGAAAATGCAGTATGAGTTACTTATGAAAATTAAATAGAATACCTAAAAGTTTAAATTTGAGACTTATTTTTGAAAGTATAAATGCCATTTTGAGATACAAAATCGTTTTAGTTACACCGTTACAGAAGTGAGTTAAAATTGTTATTGTTGCATAAAAAGATTGATAATGCATTATCAACTCAAGTTTAATTTAATTTTTATCGGAGCATAATGGAGTCAAGGGTCAAGTACCTGTTAAAGTAGACTTTATTGATTTTAAATACCTACATCAAATGAAATTTTGCATGATGTCGCTTCAGGTGAGTTAAATAAAGTATCTGAGTCGTTTTTAAGCCAACACGTGCTAAGCCAATGTATAAAACTAAAAGCAGTTTTTTCATTTACATTTTTTTTAATAAAAAGATAAAAATCATTAAAAATTAACTTCAACACTAACATTTCACTTATTTTTATTTATTATGCATTGAACATATTGCCAAGTGACTATTACCGCTAACAATTCGATTAAATAAGAGATTTCACTGAAATGTTTGATATCCAAAAATAACATATCACGAAATATGTATGTATGTAAGATATGAACATGGTATTATAAGTACCCTACTAAATTAATGTGAAGTGAATCGAATGAAAAAGATAGGAAACGATTTATTCTGCGAGTTATGAGCGCAAATAATAGTTTTTTTTTTTCTTATCGATGCTTGAATCTCCAACCTACAGAGTAGATGCACAGCGTTCATATAAATCTAGGTGTACAAAACCTATAAAATATACACTCACGGCACACATCACAAAGAGTTCGCAGTCTTCAACAGAATATATTACATTAGCAATAAACAACACGCAACTCCAAGTGGTCAAAAGAGACGAAGTACAAGAAAGCTAAATAACAGGCTATATGATTTTGTAATAAATAAAACTAATTACAAAGCAGATTGATTTGTTAGTTCTTAAAAAACATATTTGAAATAGAAGCACGTGTAATGTCGACAGGAACGTTTGTTGTACTCGAATGTTACATTATTAACACAAAACTTTATACAATATTAAAATAGGTAGTGTTTAAAGTAAAGGTACAACTTATCGAAGTGTACGATATCATGTAGAGATCATTTGCGTACATCTATGGAAGATACAATAATATACCACTTGGAGACATAACGATACAGTCGCTATGAGCACCCACAGCTCTCCACGACCATTCCTGGGATGGTGCCGTATATGATATTTAGGTCGTGATCGAAGTACAGCATTGAGATGCTGCTCATCCGCCTGGGGGCACAGCACGGCCCGCCGCTACCTTGAGGCGCCGCCAAATGGACTATGTGGGTATGAGGATACTTCTGGAGGAAGCTGTAAGGACACTCGCCGCTGCAGTAGTTCGCGTCGTACTGTTTCGGTGCTATGATCCAGTCCCAGCCGAATTCCTCAAAATTGACGGCCAGCGGGTACCGACAACAGCGGACCTCCTTGGAATTCTCCGTACAGTCCATGCCGATCGTCCTCCGCGTTCGTTTGTGCGAATTGTCTCTAAGACTTACTTCTATGTATGGCATCTGCAACAACATTAAAAAAGGGTTAGTATCTGGTAATCGTAGGCTTCATACGGTCTTCTGGTAAATTGGAGACCTTCTTGTTATAATGTCATATGTCAGCGGCGAATATAATTTTAAGTAGGTATTGGCTATCCTGTTGGACGATTTAGTTGATTCGCAAATTTGCCCGACATAAACATAGGTGATTGTCTAGGGTGCTTTTGAAGTAGAATTCGAAGGTTAGAGCGTCACTCAGGGAGGCTTTGTTATTTAATATTAAGTAAACCTTATTCAGGGTTTACTGCCAGTCTTTTCATACTTGCAGTATGTGGATCAAATATACTAATAACCGACCAAGCGCAAGTCGGACTCGCACATGAAGGGTTCCGTACCATCGTAAAACACGTTTCTAGTAGGGGAGCCTCCTTTAATTTTTAATTTATTTTTATTAGTTGTATTTCTGTTGCCGCTATAACAGGCAACAGAAAGACGCATTCAGAGAAAATTTCAACTGTCTACTGATCATGAGATAGGTACAGCTCGTTGACAGACAGACGGATAGCGGAAGCTTAGTAATAGGGTCCCGTTGGTTACCCTTCGGTTACGGAACCCTAAAAAGGGCAACTTTAATACAAAAATGTATTTATTGCACTCATAGGACTACCGTGATGTCACAGTGCATTCATGATATTCGCGGAAGAGCGTACACATGATTTTTAAGTTGTAATGCGCAAACTGGTAGCTTCCTTATGGAGCTAGGTGCGTGTCAGTTCTCAATAGTATTTTGTGTACTGAAGCGGAAAGGGAAGACGGCCCGATATCAAAGCATTGGACCACCAAGCATATGACATCATAGAACCTTGACAAAACATTGTAATTTATGCCTATTAATATTAAATTAATTTTTTTATACTAATATTACTTTGAAATTCGTTTACATATATAATTACGGATTAATTGTTTTTCTAACACAAATATGGATGCAAAATCTGAAATAAACTATTGATCAATTAATAATTAACGGTGCGATTATTAGTAAGAATTTTTTTTTACATTATAATTACGGAAAATCCATCCAAAAAGGGCGAAAATTTACGATTTTTATAGAAAGGTGTCAAACGAGCATACAGTCTACCAGACAGACGCCTACATCTATTAAGAATCAAAATTTATCTAAGCAATGAACCAGTATAAAGCGCGAAGCGTCAACCGGAGACCCTTTTTACTGGAAATGAGGCATTTCATCTCGGTCCACAGGGGTGACAACGCATCTGCATTTTGATTCCTAATTGAGGATAAATGTAGTTATCTATGGGCCACAGTATCCACTTACCATCAGGTGGACTGTGTGCTTGTTTGTAACCCTATTCCATAAAAAATTGTATATAGTTTAGGGATTTTCGTTGAACCAAAAGGAAAATATAGATAAATCATTGAATATATTTTATTAAGCCTAATTAGACTATACTCGGTTATACGAAGAATAATCACGATTTTAACAGAACAAATAATATTTTTGAATTTAATAACTTCTTCGCTCGGTGTGTGTATAAAAATTAATATACATATCTACTATGGTCATTTTAATTTCGAAAAAATAGTCAATGAATAAAATTGAAAGACCTGAACCCTACTTAGTATTTACGTTAGTTTTTTTAGAGCTCTATAGATCTATATAAATGTAATTAACAAACATACGGAAAACACAAGGACTGTGCGAAGACAGAAATATAATAATAACTGGCTCGATAAGAACAAATCGTAAAGATGACGCTAATTGCTATTTAAATGTGTACCTTGCAGAGATTCCATAATCTCCTCACCCAATCGTACACCCACATATATCTATAAATTAAGTTTGGTGTATTTTTGTAATATATTGTGTGAAATAAAGAGTACAAAAAAATTCCATAAAGAAACCGTGTGAATCGTATATCACATGAAAAGGCTTTTTGAAGTCTGCCAATACACACTGGTGCAGCGCGACAGATTGGTTGCTCCACAACCCTCTCAGGAATAAAACGAGGCCTGTGCTCAGCTGTGGGACGTATATAAGTTATATATATAGGTTGTAATCATTAATTAATTTACTGTAAACTTCTGGGTATCGGCACTACATTCACCGATCACCTGACAGCGTGATGAGCATGAGCAAATCTTCATTCTTGATAAGGCCCATGTCCAGCAGTGTACTTAAACAGTATTTGATGAACAAAATACACAATAAATCCTACCCCGCATACGTGTTTTTGCATAAAGTGTATCTACGGTAGAATTCGAACCTTTCTCTGGCAGGCAGACAGTCGGACAGGTGCACCGACCACTATTCGAATTCATACAGTTGTCTTTTTAAGTATAAACAGATGACCATTTAGTTTTTCGGACGCTACTGTGTTACGGATTATAATTGAGCCTCTGTCTGCTTTTACATTATCAGACGTCAAGTCTGAATCCTAACCTACCTTATCTAAACGACCCAAAGAAAGGTCAATGTCGCGTAAATTGGAGGAATTTACTACGGCTTCTCTTTTAAGTATTTGGTAACTATGGAACAATATATCAACTGTTTCCTTGACATACTGTATCGACTTACTGTAGGAATTTGGGGTTGCGTATTTGCGTTGGCGACTCCTTTGAACTGTAAGCGAACAAGCGATGGTAGACGAGTGGTCAGGGCAAGGAAAACTACACTTTACGTATACACCTTTATATTATAGAGTCAATAGAGTTGCTAACCTCTTTGCGAGATAGTCGAATGTCTCGTCCTAGTTGTGATTGTGAATACCAATCGTGTGGTTCCGGTTTCGATTTGAATTTCGAAAGAAACAACTGATTTTTTACAAGATCTGGGATCTTGTCAAAAATCAGTTGTTTCTTTTTCGTCAAGATATTATTAGTGCACTGGCAGCCTGTAGTCAGAAAGTTGACAGCTGGCGACTGTGACAGAAAGTGTTCAGTTTGGAGGACGTTATTATAGACGCAGTCGTATACGTAGTGAGGCTACACGTTGGCGTTGTAATAACTTGTACAAAATAGGATAATATGGCAAATAGGCGGAAGCTAGAGAAAAATTACCTTAAAAATATAAATCATTTAATATTTGCAACATTAAGTTACCAACACTAACACAGGTGCAACCTCTAAAAATTGGCATTTTAAATGTTATTTATATAGAATAAAACAATTATTTTAAATGCACTGGTATTGTGATATAGATATCGTAAATATTACGAAAAAGGCACAATTTGTTTTTTATTCGAGCTATCGTTTATATATTAATTGAATATAAAGGGTTATTTTGCATTAACCGGCCGAATTTGCAGAGAAGGTTCAGAATAACTAATATAGGCAAATGGTGAAGAAAAATTAATCTAAATAATCTCAAACATTTTGTCCTTTTTATCTTTTAAATTCAAAATGCGTGGTAATGCATTATTTTAAATAATTTTACTACGCACGTTAACGGTCGAATGGTATTCAAAAACGTTGTTGTCCATAAATCACATTCAATTTGGGATAATTTCAAATAAAAGTAGAAGCCTTATTTTCTCGTATTTTTAAAAACTGATTTAACGGTATATCATTATTTATATATTTGAACTTAAGTTTAAAATTTGGCTACTCTTTGAAAAATAACTATGTATAGTTAGTAGAACAGACTTTTTTGATTTTTGAAATTTTTATGTAAGTAGGAAAATTGAATAATATATGTACCTACATTAACATACGTTCTTATTAAGTGAATCCCTCGGTATATTAACGGGTAGGCAAAACTTAATTGAAGATTTGGTCTTTTTCGCTACATCGCAATCTACAATGCGCTAATAAGATTAATTATAATCTATGACAGCCTATAAAAGTCCACTGCTGAACATATGCCTCCCTCATACATTCCGCCATATTTGCCACGCTTGGTAAGCCGATTGGCAACCACAGTTTTTTTTAAATAAATTGAGTTGTTTTCAGGAAGATGCTGCTGCCCATCTCCTGTTTCAGTTTCCCTCTGCCTCTGTTGCCTCTTATGACACCCTCGGGACAATAGGGGGTAGTGGATATTCTTACACCGCCACAACATACAATCTTTCTAAAAGTTTATTTTGTAAAAAATATACTTTATGCTCAATAATTTCGGGTTTATATAAACGCATACGTAACTGTAACACGCCGTCTCCGTTCAGTAAAAAAACTGCCAAGTAAAATTATCTAGGTTATCGGAACATAAGTTAATCTAAATTGTGGTCATTATAATTATTATCATTTATAATATTTTTTATTTATTATTAAATGTTGAAATGATAAAACTTTATTATTTTTCCTGTTTTAAAACATGCTTTGTATTGCAGTGCGTAGTAGAAACATCTACAATTATTCTATCTACTATGGCTCGTTGTCAGCCCAAAATAAAGAGTGTTTTGTGTCGCAATTCTTTTAATGTCTTTTTTTACAGGATAGGGTGACAAACGAGCACACAGTCCAACCAGTAAGTGGTTGCTTGTGGCCCATAGACATCCTCGTTTGCGAATCAAAATGCAGATGCGTTGTCACCCGTGAATACCAGCGTAAAATAGCAGCTTAATGCTGCTGTGTTTCTTATGGTGAGTGTAGAGAACTGGAGACCCTTTTTACTGAAAACGAGGCATTCCAACTTAGTCCTTATGGGTGACAACGCTTCTACATTTTGATATTCGTAATCGAGGATAAATGTAGATGTCTATGGGCTACAGCAACCACTTACCATCAGGTGGACTGTGTGCTCGTTTGTCGCCCTTATCCTATAAAAAAAAAGATGGAATGCCTATTTTGCAGTAAAAAGGGTCTCCGGTTTTCTACACTCACCACACGAAACACAGCAGTGTTAAGCTGCTATTTTACGCTGGTATTCTGTGAGAGCGTGGTCCTTCTCCGGTCGAGCCGACCCATTCGTGCTACAACTATACTACTAAAATAGCTGCATCATGGCTCTACCACGCATAATGTATGTATGTTACGCGATATCTTCGCAGACTGTGAACCAATTTGGATGACTTTTTTTTATTAAACAGGTTATACTTCAAGGGTGGTTCCAAATAAATTTGGAGAAAAAAAATTATATTTAAACCCCTAAGGATAGCAATCAAATAACTTCTCTTTTAGCAAATTGAAGTCGTTTTTATATTTTGTTAAAAGTTATAATTATTTCAAGTAATATAAGTAAGAATAAGGCTAGTATTCAGAGATAATCTTGAGCTAAGCTTAAGCTTTTAAACTAAAACTTCGTAGAGAAATCAAAATTACATTCCAGATACTATGTTACATAAAAGTAGACATTGTAGAGTTTAAGTTTGCGTTCCAGATTGTCTCTGAATACTGGCTTAAGAGTTATTTAATTTATTTTTCGGAAACTAAAACATTATTTGGCATTTCCTTTAGTCAACTAAGTAAGTAAGTAGTTTTCTAAACGCTTTTAAAAAAATGTTATATTCCCTTTAAAATTACAGGTTAAATACGTATGTACCACAGTTTGGTACAGGCCTGCTCCAATTTGATAACAATCCCCCGCGCTATACTTTCTCGATCATCATCATCACCATCATTACTACCCAACGCTATTCTGCTGGACGCTATAAAGCACGGACCTGAGCTACCTGCATCCATCGACTTTTGCGTTTCTTGCCAGGTCGTAACTCCAACCAGTAGTGGGCTGCCCTACACTTGGGAACTTTTTTCCAAATCGGTGTTTTCCATCACCGCCAAGCACGTGGTAAATCAGCATTACAGGCTGTGAGGCATTTAATCTATACCCTGGAGGTGACAACGCATCTGTAGCCTTTTTTTACTTATTATAAGCCAGCCACAATCCCACCTGGTGGTAAGTGGTGATGCAGCCCTAGATAGTAAATCGCACTGTCTTAGCGTAACAAAAGCCTATCCACTCTTGTCTTGAAGACGCCCAGATTGTATTCGGAAGGAAAGATAGACGCCGGCAAATTTTTGTATAAAGTAGGCTGCAGGAAGTAGGTCCGTGGTCTGCAAGCAGCCATTTACAATCAGGTGGACAGTTAATTCGTTTGTCAGTTATGTGATGAGAAAACATAAATAATAAAAAAAAATTAAGGCGACGAGCTTAGTGCCTCAGTTAATACAACTTCAACAATATTAGTAGTTTAGTCAGTACACCATCACTCACCAATGCATTATTTGATTCTGAGCTCGGATGTGGAACTACCAAGCTCATTCTATTCTTCGAGTCTTGTACTCTCACAACTATTGCTAGATTCTCCCTCGGCAGCCTGAAAAACTCTGCCACCATGTTGGTCACGTTCACCTTGACCCACTTGCCGATCTTCAGTTCTTTCCTGGACATCTTTACGGAGCTCTCCGTGTATGGTACGGACGCTTTGCTCCCTTGACTGTTCCTCGTGACCCTGTTCACTTGAATGCCTATTGAGAAATACTCATCGGGGCCTAGAGTCACGTTAAGCCTCTGCTCGAGTTCTTGAACGTGGATGTTAAGGAATGCCTCGTCAACTTCATTCTGGAGGACCTTACTCGAGAACCTGAAGTTGATCACCTTCAAACCTTTGAAGTGACTGTGCCGCCTCGTATCTGAGGAAAGTTAAAACAATAATTTAAAAAAAATGTAATAAGATTTTTTTGTTTAGAAACAAAAAATTAAACGTTTCAACGCCTTAAGTAGAGCCAGGTTCGATTCTGTTTAAAAGTAGCATTTACTATTTAAAACATATTTCGCTTTTTTTAACCTAAAAAGTGCTTAAGACTTACGTAAGTAAACTCATAAAATAATCAAAATTTACGAGCTAAGTTTTTCACACATGCAATATTATAACATTTCAAGTTCATTTCTCTTGTAAACGCAAACTGTTTCTATCTGGAAGTACATACGTACGTGGAAGTGCGCAATTTCTGCCCGTGACCTAAATACAAGCGAGAGCGGAAGCTTCAGCGGACAAAACGACACTCACGAATTCACTGATAAGATCCGAGAGAGATCGCGAATTTAAAAACACAGTTATATTAAAATAACACATGAGCATAACTTTCTTTTAAATCAATTGCAACAAGTTTAGGAAATTTTACAATATTATATTGAGTATTATTAAAATTACATATTTTTCGTAATTTTCGTAGGTTGTCTGTTTAACGTTCTGCTGCTAATATTTTTCTTAACCATACTGTTAGGTGGGTTTTCATCGTCAATATCAAATTTTCCAGTGTTACTAACATAATGATAGAGCACAGTCTTTCTATTCTCTCAATCATAAAAATATAGTATTCCAGAGCCGCCACTTTGGATACTATATTCCTTAAAAACTTTCGTCACCTTTCATACAAATCATTGATGCTAGAAATACGGGAAAATTTTCAATTAACGCATTTAAGTTTAAAAGTTACAAAAAGCTATAGAAATATATAAACTGCGACCTTAGTTGTAAAAAAAAAAAGTATTTCATAAACTTGTCAACCAGTAACATAATAAAAAAAGCAATTCGTACGTTTACGAAAAAAATTATCTGTTACATAAAGACGTACGCATAGTCATTTTCTACTTTATCATCACGCAGTAAGTTGCTAAATTGTGAAGCATACCTCCCGTTCGTTGCAATGGTAGAAAAAACTGACATGAACGAAAATACTAATTGTACACGTGCATGTCTAAATTTATATCGTCATATGTGTTGATTTTTTTTTCGTGTCACACATTCAACAAATTCTTTAGTGACACTCGCTTAATTTGTTGTGATGAAAGCATCATGAAATTTAAAATACCGCAATTTTCACAAATGCTTTACAAACATTTGAACATTTTTCACGCAAACTACAATAATAAAATTATTGTAAGAATAAAAAAAAATTGGCAAAATAGTATGCAGATTCTTTTTAAAATTTACGAGCTCACAGTACTATTCGACAACAACTTTATATGTTTTTTTTTTAAGTTACATAACTTATGACGGATCTTGTAATATAATGACAATAAACGGCATGTGTCAAAATTTAAAGGAAGCGGTTGACAAGATAGCAAAAAATTAAGTATTAAAACTTAAAAAACAGCGTGGATCCCCCGCAGGCATCATCTGGAAAGAAAAAAATGTCTGTTAATGACTTTTAAATTTAGTTACTCGTATCATTAAATTATTGTTTGCACTTGTCATAAGTATAAACATTATTTATTTTTTGTTGTTAAATAGTAAGTATCTACAATTTCATTTTGTTATTATTTAAAGCCGTTTCCGATAGTAGATATATGTATGCAATTCTTTTAATTTTGTCGGATCCTAGCATAGCTTTGAATCTTCGTTCAGAAAAGAAAATCAAATAAATTATGTGAATATGACCTCAATCAGTCAAGTCACTCAGAAGTTGCACGATCACCAACTGAAGCACCAACGATTATTATTTTATAAGAAGAAAATTATAAAAAGTTGAAGAAGAGTAAAAGTAGATACTGATGAACGAAGATGAAAGCTGCTTTCATTTCATACCAAATAAAAATAACACGTATATTTCTAGTTCTTTTAAGATGTGATATTAGGTACTCTGATGGAGTAGAGTACAGTAATAATGAGTACATTTAACCGACGAGCGTGTATGCGTAGGTATATGGATGTGGAGGAAGCGAGAGGGGTGTGTCAGGATCGTGCCAAATGGAAGTCCATAGTCTGCCTACCCCTCTGGGTGACAGGCGTGAGTGTTTATATATTTATATATTAGGTCTTACTTATGTCCTACTTAAGAAATATACGTTTTATATAGAAATATTCAAACCTATTTCTTTATATATTAATGCCAATACACCTTTGAAACCTTTGTTGGGTTAGGTTAGTCTATAAATTATGTAAAGTCGTTTATCACAACCTCATTGAACTTTAAGAAAAAAAAATTCCCTTGTACGCCTATTGAGGAAAACTCATCGGGACCTAGAGTCACGTTAAGTCTCTGCTCAAGTTCTTGAACGTGGATGTGAAGGAATGCCTTGTCGGAAAGTTGTCCGACTTTCGAAGGAACAAAACCTGACGAATGAAACTCGCTGTCACACCAGTTCATCGTTAAATTTTGTCTAGTAAACACTGAAGTCGGTGGTGAAGGAAACAGCTTCATAAAGTCTATGTCTAAGAAATTAAAAATATTTCTAATACATTTAATGTCCGATAACACGAATTGTATCAGCGCGGTGGACTCTTCCTGAGACTCTCAAAAATGAGATTAGGCCAGACTCAGGTTGCTATTTTACTTTGTATTTTATTCCGCCTACTGTTTTATTACCGTACTCTTTAGTCCACTGCTGAACACAGACCTCCCCTCTATATTGCCCCCTCAGGAAGCACCACGCTTACAGTAGAGCATATGGTATATTAAAACAAAACTAATGGCAACACTGTGAAGATTATACAAAAAGAGAACGATGCTGGGATGTGAAAGAGAGAAAACAACAGTTTAATTTTTACTAAGAGTATTTGTTGGTGTAGAGTCGTTGTAGAGTCCATAGACTATAGTAATTTAAAGAGTCACAGTACATAAATTAAAAGTCGTACAGTACGTAAAAGCCACCACGCTTGAAATGCGGGTAGGTAACCATAGATTTTTTTTATTGTTAAGTTGCTATCGGGAAGATGCCGCTGCCCATTTCCTGGTTTAGTTTCCCTCTGTTGCCTCCTTTGAAACCGACAGGATGACATGGAGTAGTGGATACTCATGCGCTTTTGTTGACACCATATACTACGTGTAGAAGTTGATGGTCGGCGCACATGTCAAACACACGCTTTTGTATGACAGCGTTCTAAGTAGTGGCTACTCAAAGAATGCGCTGAACGCGCTACTGCACTGCTCATGGCAGCGATGTATGGCGACGTGTTCGTTCAACAACAAAGCGTTTTTTATACAATCACTGGTAATGGAACTCCATTTCTACCTCTGAATTGGCAAAGTGTGTTGAAAGTAGCAGTGATTGCGCTACTGTCTTCTGATCTGACGGCTATAGAGAACCAGATTATTACAGGTTTTGAGTCATTACATCTCAGTTCTCAGAGGTAACAACGCTTCTGTATTCTCCTTATAAATTTTGACGACAGGATATCTAGGGATGAAGATAATTTTACAATAACGTATTCCAGCAGTAGCTTAAAAGTGTGTGCTATACCCAACAAAGTATGGGTACAATCTAAAAATGTTTTAACAGTCTTTTAACAGTGGTAGAGCCACGCGGCAGCTTTTGCTGTCGCACGGATGGGCCGGCTCGAACCGGGGTGGTACCACGACCTCACAGAAAACCAGCGTGAAGTAGAGGTTTACCTCTGAGTTTTCCTTGGTGAGTGCAGGTGGCCGAAGGCCCTTTTTACTGGAAATGAGGCATTCCATCTTAGTCCTCACGGGTGACAACGCATCTACATTTCGATTTTTAATAGAGGATAGATGTAGATGTCTATGGGCCACAGCAACCACTTACCATCAGGTGGACTGTGTGCCCGTTTGTCACCATTATCCTATAAAAAAAAACTGTGGTACTGGTAAGTAGACGATGATCGTTTTTTACATCTTTCCGCTTTATCACTTGTGATGGTCTAAGAAGTTGGGTTAAACGCGAACGCCGAAATGTGCAAACAACCGAAACGAAACCTCACGTGTGTGAGCCAATGGACTACTGTCGGTAGTGCTCAAGACCGAGCAATGTAGAGAAGTCTAAGCAATAATTTTCATTGTGTACCAGGCTATTGGTAATTATTATTTTTTTATTTATTTACATAACATTGAAATATGTATATACATAAATATATAATAATATAAAAAAACTATAATTTAAATTATCATATGGACGTAGTTATGCAAAAGGGATTCAACCCGCGAGAAGTTAATTTGAGTTTATGATATTTGAAGTATGGATGCTTATCATCAGTATGGTTTCTCTCTGTTTATAATTTTTTTCTTATTTATGTTACTTTTGCTAAAATTGTTACATCGCATAATAGTATAGACCACAAACATTATTTTTCAAGTGAACATTTTTGACACAAACACGGGTTGGATCCGTTTTGCATAACCACGTCCATATAGTCCTACTCCACGTGGTATCGTGTCAAATATGACTATACTTAGTATTTGAGCGAGAAAAGAACCAGCCCTATTATCACCGGCAGCGATGACCAGGCACGGATACAGTTCCTTTAGAAACTTCACCGCACGTGGACTCCACGGACCGATTGTCTCTACAGTACATGGCCCAAATACATAGTCATCTCTCAGAACCTCAATTTGGCGCCACTTACAGCTGCCTCTAATGCCACCCCGGCTCTAAACGAGGTACCCCTGAGATTAGAGGCTGCCAATGTGTCTACGCAAGTAGCATCCCACACTGTGGGCTTTACATCTCACCCAAGGGACCAAACTAATAATTAATAACTATTAATAATTATAAGTTATATAATAATTATTATTGATAATTGACGGAATTAAATGAAACAGGGTAGGTAGTTCACTATTTCAAGCAGCTATAGTTTGTAAATTTGTAGTATTTTATTTGCAACCGACCTCAAAAAGGAGGAGGCTTAAAGTTCGTCGGAATCTTTGTTTTTTTCAAATTATTATTTTATTATATTTTTATTTATTTTTTTTACTCAAAGATGTTTTTTTGTTTCAAAGGGTATACTTTCCAAGTGGTTCCATCTACATTTTATCGAAATCGGTTGAGCGGTTTAAAAAAATCAACAATAAATTTTATTTATGTTGAAGTCGATTGTACAAAATTTAAAAAAATATTTCGGAATAATAATGATCGCAAATTTTAAGCTAGACTAAGGCCTTTCGACACAGACTAACTACTACTCATAGAGAGTCTATTAGTAATTTTTGCGTATAGTATAAAATTACTATAACAATCTTGTCTTCGTTCTCCAGTACATTCCTCCTTCTTCAATAAATTTTTATTGTAAAGCTGTTCGCTTGTATTTATATAAATTCTTATATTTATTTTATATTACTCTTATTTTAATATTATAATTAAATTATATACAATATTAAAAACTATAATAATAATAAAAAAACTAAAACTAGAAACTTAATTATCATACAGTCCTACTCCCCGCGGTATCGTGCTTAGAACGCTGGCTGCGTTTCCCCGCTGAATGGCTATATTTAGCCTTTGAGCGAGAAAAGAACCAGCCCTCTTATCACCAGCAGCAACGACCAGCCGCGGATGGAGCTCCTTTAGGAACTTCACCGCACGTGGACCCCACGGACCGATAGTCTCTACAGCAAATGGCACAAATATATAGTCATCTCTCAGAGACTCATATTTTTATATAAATTATTTGTACCATTTATACAACACCTCCCTTCAACTCATTCGTTGTAAACAGTTCTTTGGTAATAAGGTTATCTGGAAGAAATCGCAAAACATTTATTTTGTTTACAAAATACTTTCAGTAAGTTTCAAGTCAATCGCTCATTAAAATTTTCTCTATACAAATTTGAACATCCTCTGCCCCCCCCCCTACTTTTTAATTTTACCACTTATCATTCCTAGATTCCTCCGTAGAACATCGCTCT